ACACACACACACACACACACACACACACACACACAAACTCCTGTGGAAAAATCAGACAAGTTACAATTTAAACAATTGTAGAAAATAATAATTCAAAGTTTGAAAGTCTCTATCTCATCATCAGTATGGCATTTCTTTTACCTTGCATAGCAGTGGACGTACCTGGGTTTTCCATTATGATAATTTGTATAGGAGAAAGTTTAATTTTGAAACAATGTAGCAAGTAAAAAAATGTATATATATTATGTATACACGTATACATGCATGTGCAAATGTTAGATTTTGGTTTTGGATAAATATTTGATTTAATGCCCTTTTGCGGGTGGGGGTATGTGCATTTAAAAAGGGTGTTGTTCACAATGACCAGTGGGTGATCTTCCATGTTTTGAAGTTTTGAAGTTTTGAATTTGACCGTTCTGTTTTCTTATGCTTATCAATGGTCATGGTGTTCTTTATTTTACACAGAAACTGACAGAAATTTTGACCTTGCATTCACAAGAGACTTCTCCATGAAAGATACCTGGCTGAGGTCACAGCGAGGCTTTGATTTAAGCAGTAATAATTCTCTCACCGTTGCCATTTTTGTTGTGAATTTGGAACCAGAGTCTGCAGATCCAGGAATATTGGCTCTTGCGAGGTTAGTTGATATGTGCGGAGGAATCAAACCACATGCCGCATTCTTTTGTAAGTTTGGTTTCTAAGTTCTTTCTCATGAGTTCTGCCTCATTGTGCTGTCCCCATGGTTTTATGCACCCTGCATAATTTAGCAAAATTTGATCATTTTTTTGCATAATTTGTGATTATTTTCCTTGATCATTCTTTGTAAAGATTAACAGAATCACATAATTTCACATTTTGGGACTTTTTTTTGCATAATTTCAGAAATGCTTTTGCATAAAAGAAGGGGACAGATTGGGTGGGTGTCAAAAGCTTTTCCTCATGTCTCTCATATTCTGATCAGTAGACAGTTGGAAGTTGATGGTGTTTTTTTCTCTAATTGTGTAATTGGAAGAAATTGGCGTCTGAAGTTTTTTGCTTTAAAACCATTGCTGAGCTCAGTCTTTGGGTTCTCAGTAAGAATCAGGAGTTGGAATGCAATATAAAAGTATTTTTTTAAATATGCATGTTCTCTTTTTTACGAGTCGGAGACGAAATTTTAAATTTAATCAAAATTATGTGATATTAAATGCCATCACTATTGTCAGTTCTTTTTATTCATGGTATACTATTATGCTCTTAATGTGATGTGCATATCGAAAGTGCTTAGGAAAGCGAGTAACTGGAAAAATAACTCTGCCGCAAGCTGACAAACGCCTTTTTTCATTTTTGTGCCAAAATTTTTAATTTGCTAAATCAAAAGCCTGATCACTAACCCTACTATTGTGAAAAAATCAAATTGAAACTGTGACTAGTTTTTTTATGAATTAGAATTCAAATTTCGGAATGACTCTATTTTAAAATGATTATGCTAACGGAAAAAAAACTCTTTTTCTCGAAGCTGCTCTAAAAAAACAACAACGTTATTTTGTCAACTTACGGCAGAACTGTACCTGTTTTTACGCCCAGCTTGACAAAATTCAGATCTTTTAGGACGCAAGCCACTTTGAACCTCGCCAGGAAGGATCAACCCAGACTAAGTGGGACACAGCATCCCACCAGATTGACACCGGTACTCGATTTTAAAAAAAAAAGCAAGTTCCTTATCCAAAATGAAACTTTTCACGTCTCTGCTTTGACTTGTGACAGCAAAGAGCCTTGTTGCTACACCACAATGTAACTGGCAGTGTAGGGTTGGGTTTTTTTGTTTTTTTGTTGTTCTTTTTTTTCGGGGGGGGGGGGGTGGGGCTGGCTTGTTGTTTTTTAAACCACACATGTAATACACTGTGCACATAATAATAATAATAATAATTGCATTTATATAGCGCATATCAATGCTCAAGGGCATGCTCTAGGCGCTTTACAACTATTATTACCCCTGCAGACCCTCTGAGAACACTCAGAAACATTCTCAGCTTCCGCGGAAGCATACAGTGCAAGCTGCAGATTTCGCGCGCTCAAACACTATCAAACTGACAAGATCTCTCACTGTCTATAGCCGGGTACTCTTTTCCACCTGGGTGAAGTGAGGAAAATTTGTGCTAAGTGCCTTTCCCAAGGACACAACGTCGGGCCCCTGACGGGTTTCAAACCCGCGACCTTACGGTTGCAAGTCCAAAAGCCTAACCACTAGGCCACCGACTCCACATATCAATGCATGCATGCGCATATATATAAAATAAATATGTTGTAGACAGAATATGCTTTTGCACGCCCTATAGACATATCAGTGCAATAAGTAATATTCCAAATATTTGGAGTATCTGCAATATAGGTCCTAGGCTGTGTGTGTATGTGTATAGCATATTTTTTCATCTAGTTTGTGACACGTATAGTGTCTTAACACTGCCCATTGGTTGGTGTGACTTCTTTGATTATGCCAAACCAAAGAAAAATGAAACGAAAGGCTGTGTTAGTTTGATCTCACCATTTTATGGGTGTGGAGTCATAGGTACAGGTAGCTCTACTTTTTTTTACTTTGCATTAATTTGTTGTCATCAGCCGTAATCAGTAGAATTTCTTGACAGGTTAGAGCATCTCCTGCTCACTTTCTTACTGCTGGTGATCTATCTTCTATCTATCTATCTATCTGTCTGTCTGTCTGTCTGTCTGTCTGTCTGTCTGTCTGTCTGTCTGTCTGTCCGTTTATCTGTCTGTCTGTCTGTCTGTCTGTCCGTCCGTCAGTCTATCCGTCTGTCTGTCTGTTTATCTATATATCTATCTATCTGTTTATCTATCTGTCCATCCATCCATCCATCCACCCATCCACCCATCCATCCATCCATCCATCCATCTATCCAGGTCCGAAGATGCCAATGATATAGAGTCAGAGGCATTCCTTTTGCTCACCAATGATGAGCTGAGGTTGGGGAAAAGTTCTGATCCAAACTCCAGACGTGTTAACATAACAGCTGGTAAAACTACAGACGAGAGAAAATGGCATATGGTAGTGATTTCATGGAGGCAAGATGAACAAGTGGAGCTGACTTTTGACTTCTCCAAAGTTGGGCCGCATGTTGTCCGAATTTCTCCGCCAGAAAGTGGGTGAGTCTTTATTTATATTATCATCCGTGTCGTCTTCAAACAAAATGATTCCATAGAGTTTAAAGTAAGATAAGATAAGATAAGGTGAGTCTTTATTTACATCCATGGCATCTTCCAACAAAATGATTCCGTAGAGTTTTAAGTAAGATAAAATAAGGTAAGATAAAATAAGGTGAGTCTTTATTTATATCCATGGCATCTTCCAACAAAATGATTCCGTAGAGTTTTAAGTAAGATAAAATAAGGTAAGATAAAATAAGGTGAGTCTTTATTTATATCCATGGCATCTTCATACAAAATGATTCAATAGAGTAGTTAGATAAGATAAGGTAAGGTAAGTTAAGATAAATCTTTATTGTCCAGATGCTGGCACGGCATTGGTTTGGTATTTCACTCCCCCCCCCCCTCCCCCCCCCTGCCCCCACACACACGCACAGGCATACACAGAATCATACTCTTTCACTCCTCCTCTCTTCCACACACATCTACATAAAATATGCTTGTGCTCACAAACAAACTCATTGTACATGAATGTGACATAAATTAACATTGAGCAAATATTGTTATCAAAAAGAATGTTTAAACTAGATAGTGTTGGTTTATTCTGTAGTAGCCTATGTAGCTGAAAAGCATCGGATGTTTATAATTATTGTTTGTTATATCTACTGAAAACTTATATCAAAGTTTTGTAAGTACAACTGAGATATATATATATATATATATATATATATATATATATATATATATATATATATATATATATATATATATATATATATGTGGTGTTATGGGGGAATCAGACTTTGGTCAGAATAATAAAAATCTAAGAAACTGTCATTTTTCTCCTTATAGGGGAATTTTAATACATTTTTAAAATCTTTTTTTTTCGCCCAACACCTTTATTTCCATTTAAAAACACATTTTCAATTAATCATTTTTTCACCCTTTACTTCTGTGTGTAGGTGTGTAGATGCATGACTTTTGGGGGTTGAACCACAGAACTTTTGGCTGCAGAACAAAAATATGGTCTCTAAAATGGTCACAAACCATCTTTTTTTAATATCCGAAACCTTATTACAAAAAACAAAAATTATAGATAAATACAGATGGGCATCCTTCCCTTGCCCCAGATGATGAAAAACACACAGAATATTATTATGCAATTAGGCCCAGCTTAATATATTTTTAAAATAAAAACCATGAAATGTCTTTTTTAAAATGATTACTTGTGATAACTGTAAAATTGAAGTTTGTGTAAAATGGATAAAAATAAACAAGAAAAGTGCTATGCAATACCGGAGCATCAGACTCTAGTTAAAGTAAAACGATACCTCCACCTTGCTATACAGGCATGTCTTTGTGTACCTCGGGAACAAGTTCAGTGGCTACATATCGCAAGTGTCAGTGTGGAATACAGCGCTTGACAACTCGGAGGCTCTTAAAATCTATGGCGATAGTTCCAAAATCCCCAAACCGGATGATTTGCTGCTTGGCTGGACCCCGTACGAATACCACCCACTGGTCTACGTGCAACCCAAACAGCCAACAATAACTATATATAATACAACTGCATGCAGCTTCCCTGCCACTATTGCATCGAGTGATCTTTGCCCAGATGTATTTGGTAAGGCTTTTTTTGGTTATTTTTCTATTCGTTTTCTTTACATTTCTAATTCTTTTTAAAAATTTTATTTTACTACTCATTTTCGTTATATTTCTAATTCTTCCTTTAAAAAAAAATATTTTACCATTTGTTTTCGTTACATTTTTAATTCTTTTTCCAAGTTTAGTTTTGTCTTCAGTTAATTGTAATGTGATATATCTGAGAAAGTTTTACACTCCTTTCAACACAACTTATTGGGTTTGTTGTGACATCCCTGTAGACATATAAAGATACTTCCTAGAAGAAAGCAGCTTCCACAATTGGGAACCAAACTCATGTCATCTTCATTCGATAGAGTAAAGTCCAACTGCTCAACCATAGACATTGATATCTCCACTCGGGCTATTGCCTGACATAACTCTTATTATATTAGTCTTATACAAGTCAGCACATCTTCTAGCTAGTTGCTGCGTGACTATTGTGGCGTAGCTGGCCTAGTTGTTAGGCTCTTTGGACTCACAACTATAAGGGAACAAGTAAAACACACCGGAAAAAAAAAAAAATCTCATCTCGTTATTTTATGAATATTTTAGGCAAGAAAGAGAAACCCAGACTGACAATGCCAGAAAAATGTGGGGAAGAGCTGCTCTTCAAGCCGGCGCGAGAAGCTCATCAAGTGCCAGAGAATGACCTGCTCAAGCTTACCTTCCAGGATGGGGCCACGGAAATACAAGGCTCAGGAAGTAAGTAATATAATAATAATAATATAATAATAATGATGATATTAATAATCATAATGATAATAATAGTAATAGTAATAGTAATAAATAATAATGATAATAATAATAATGATACTAATAATAACAATAATAATAATAAATAATAATAATAATAATAATAATAATAATAATAATAATAATAATAAAGATACTAGATCTAGTAATAAAAATAATAATATAACGATAATAATAATAATAATAATAATAATAAAATAGTTGTAATAATAATAATAACAGTAACAATAATAAATGATAATAATAATAATACTAATAATGATACTAATAATAATAATACTAATACTAATAATAATAATAATAATAATAATAATAATAATAATAATAATAATAATAATAAATAAATATAATCATAATCATAATGATAATGATGCTAGTAATAAAAATAATAATTTAATAATAATGAAGTGCATCTTTATAGCGCCAATAAAAGTACGAGACTATAGCTGAAAAAAGCTCATACACATAGGCTACTCTTATACTCCCTTATTCACACATACACCCACATATACAACTCACTCGCATTCACACACGCATAAATGCACGTACAAATGCATGTACACATGCAGGGCAGGGTAGTTTGCCCTCCACCAACTGGTACTTTTCGGGAGACCAGACCTATACATGCACTTTTAGTCACCTCGTGTGCTAATACTTTTTAACCTTTATCTCTAGAAGGGGGTTTCCAGTTAAACTGGAGCTATTTTTTTTAGGTATGAAACCTTAAAGTGACATACTTGTCACTAAATTGGTAATTAAATAAAAATGAATTAATTTGATTTGACAGATTTTCTTATATGAAGTGTACTGACAAAATGAGTTACTTTTCAAGTTCAAGCCTTATAATGGAAATAAATACATCAAGCTTATACTTGAAGTTTTTACAGTGTGTGAGTATTAAATTAAAAAGGCATGTTATAGTTGAAGATTATGGCGGCGTCAATAGAAAATCTGCAAATTTGACCCTTGTGCAGTGTAGATTTTTGGCCAATATCTCAATTTGTGAATTGGTCGCTTTTAAGGACAAGCGGGCTAACCCAGATTTCAGGGGTTTCCAGAAATCTTGACCTTCACCAAAAGTGGGCCTTGCTATACCTGTAGGAGAATTTTGGTTTCACTGATGTGGATATTTGTTTGGTTATAGAGAAAACTCTCTTTGTCTTTAAAAAAAAACTGAACAAGAGGCAAAAAGCTTTACCTTCGATTTTCTCAAAACAGCATTTTTCGGGATAGTCCCCTTGTGCTTAAAAGCAAGCAATTGCGAGAAGTATCTCATTTGTCAGCACGCCTCATATTATAATTAAAACTCGTTGCTAGAGAGACCTGTATGTTTTTTTGGCCACTGTCAGTGGACCACCGTCACAGCGGTTATACCACAAGCTGCTGGGAGCGGCTTGCAAGAGATAAAGAGTTAAAGATGTGTAGGCTACTATATGCTATATAGAGTTTAAAAATGTATTACTATTAGAGTTTAAAATATATAGGCTATTTACTGTTTGAGTTAAAAATATATACTATTATTATTAGAGTTAAAAATATACCATATACTATGAGAGTAAAAAATGTATACATACTATTTACTGTTAGAGTTTAAAATACTTACTATTTCCTATTACTTTTCCCCTCAGATAAGGGTCAGGCCTTCACATTCGGAGCCTACGACATCGCTGTTTCGGCCAAAGACTCAGATGGAAATGTTGGAGTGTGCATGACAAGAGCTTACATCACATGTGAGTTATTTAAAGCCCCATTCACATGTACAGTTCATTGATCGACAAACTGTTGGATATGGAAAGAATGGCGGGCATCCTGTCAACTTCCCTGTAAAACTGAGCGTGGAAACGAGCAACCCTCTCGATATCGAAGGGTTCTCAGTCCAGCCACCAGAATTTTGGCGAAGCTAGATTTTTCCGGCCGACGAACTGAAGGCATGATGACGAGGGAGCGGCTTCTTTGATATTGCCCCTGGCAGAGTTGAAAATGAGTTCCAAAGGTTTCCTAAATATTGGTCAAATTTTAAAAAATAATAAGATTTTCATGATTAGCGACCCGGAATTAGTTAAAGTCATGCGGGGAATGCAATTTAGTGCCGGATTACTATGTTAATTTTTTTGGTGTCTTTTGTTAAAGACTAACACTTTAAGGATAAAAAAAAACAACTGTACATCTAAATGGAACTTCTCTCGTCGACAAACTTCAGTTCAACGATGACCCAAATCTAGTGCCTGTTGGTTAAACTGTCAGTTTGTCGATGAATGAACTGTATGTGTAAAGGGACCCTAACCGTCGGACTTACTTTTGTAAAAGGAGAATCCAACAGGTTGTTGAAACACTGATTGCCAAAAGAGGATCTGTTTTGGATATTTCTTTGCTACTTTCTTTTCAAGAAGGGATGCCCGATGATCAAATGGACCCGACCTGCATGGTCAAATGGGATCGGGTCGGGAAATGGGGCTGACCAGAGCTTACTATATCAAATAAACTTTTGCGTGCTTCATGGAATTACGGACATGTCTTATTTTGGAACATCAGATTGGACTGTGACAAAATGATAGCTGTTGCCCTCCGCTCAAGAAAAATCGAGCTGCTCTATTTTAAATCACATCTTGTTAGTAATGACTTTGATGAAAATTTCTGCAGTGGGCACTGAATAGTAACTTTACCAGATGGTGTCCGTATGTTTAATCAAATTCTTTGTATAAGACTCAAGCTGTATGCACGAATTTTACTCCTTTCACCCAGGTAGAAATAGGTACCCAGCCATGGACAGTAAAAGGTCTTGTCAGTTTAATGTTAGTATTTAAGCACTTAATTAGCTGCTTGTGCTATATGCTTCCTGGGAAGCTGAGAATGTTGCGGAGTGTTCTATAGTCTGTTAGCGTAATAATATAGTGTGTAGAGTGCATAGACTTGCTGTAGATAGGGGAAATGCGCCGTACAAATGCTACCGTATATTATATTATTATTATTCTCATTATTATGCCATTTTGAAAAGTGAAGAATGGCAGAATTTAATACTGAGCAGTCATTCTGTTTTTTTGTGTCCAGAAATGTACATTATTTTTTATTTAATGAAATTATTGACATTATAAAAGACGTCATAGAAATAAGTGAGGCATATAACTGTAACTATTTTGTGTTTCGCAGCACAAGAGTGCAAGGACACTGAACCCACGGAGAATGTAGAAGACTGTTCAGACTTTGAGGATGGCAAGAAAGTCAAATGTCCCACGGGCCAACAGCCCAGTGTTCCCACACCGGCTTATGTTAGATGTGGCGCGCTGCAAAGCTACAACTTGAATAAAGACATGGAGTACCCACCCAGGATTGTTTGCGGAGGTATGTGTGTGTGTGAGTTGCAATTAAGTAGGTGAAAAAGTAGTTGAGATCTCTATTCATAACTTACTACACTTTCAAAGCCAGGGCTCATTCTCAGAGCCATCGGCGCGTACCCATGCAGGATTGTTTGCAGAGGTATGTGTGTGCGGGAGTTGCAATTAAGTTGGTAAAAGTGTAATTGAGGCCTCTATTCCGAACTTGCTTCTTTTTCTAGGCTCATTTAGGGTCACTGATGACTGTGGCATCGATGTCCTAGTGGTAAGGGTCTTGGACTCGCAACTATAAGATCGTGGGTTCAAATCCTTTCAGAGGCCCAAGTTGGTGATCCAAAGTTCTGTCCTTGGGGAAAAGCACTTCCCTGATTCCAACGTGAGAGGAATTTTTATTGAACACCTCTTTCCTTCTCCTGGGACTTTGTGTCCCTCTCAACCTGAATTTGGCCCTGAAGGGCAGAGTCGAAACAGCCCTCCTAATTATGTAAATAGTGTCAATTGGCGCATAAAACTCCTACAAGGTCATTTAAACCTCTTTAATATCCGTCTGTTGTTTCTATCGGTCTGTCTTGCCTTTTCCCTGCATTAATACTACGCCCCCACGGGACGCCGATTAGCGACGGTAAGAAGCCATACCTTTTCCCCCCGGGACGCCGATCGGCGACGGTGTGATGTAGCGTGTACCACATCTGTATCCTGGTCCCTGGGGATAAGTGTTGTGCTCTCTGCACGCTGCGTGGGAGGAAAGTGTTAAATAGCCATTACTGTATTGGTGTACTGTTTCGTTTTACTCAAACGACTCTATACTGACGTGTCGTGACACAAAAGAGTCGGGTGCTCATCAACTTTTGGCCATGTGAAATTATAAGTATGATTTTAAAGTTTGTTAATTTCTCTTGCTTTCAATGAAAACAAATTATTCGTCTTGAATAAAAGTCGCAATCTTTGCAATTGAAGGACAGACACTGAGAGAGAAGGGGTAGACAGGCTTATGGAGAGAAAGAGAGGAAGAGAAAGAAAGAAAGAGAAGGGCGTAGGAGAGATTTGTAGACAGACAGAGAGAGAGAGAGAGAGAGAGAGAGAGAGAAATG